AACCATTTACGATCTGAGCTTAGATTTTATAGTAGCCTAATAATATTTTTTATATACTATATTTACATATTTTTCCAACTTTAATCAACTATAATACGCGCCGATTAACTTGTCAGACTTACAACACAGCTCCTATTGGATTAATAAAATCCCCTCACACCCCTCTAATTAAATCGATTTAAATAATAGTAAAGAATTTACTACTCCAACAGGAGCTGTGTTGTAAGTTTGACAAGTTAGTCAGCGCGCAATTTATTAAGATTGGAAAAAATATACGTGTAATTATACATAAAAAATATTATTAGGCTATTCAGATCCAAGCTCGGATCGTACACGGCTTATTTAATATTGATTGATTGTATAACGGTCACACATAAAACGGTCTTATTTCTCTTATATTATTAAAAATCAGAATAATAAATTTATTTCGCCAGTGAATAGAATAACAGTTAAAGCAGCTTAAATCGACAGTAACTGGCAATATATAACGTCTTTACCGATATGAACATTGAAAAAATCGTGAGCCAACTCGCTTTGTCGGATTCACACAGCACTTTTTCGGATCAATCATCGAGACATTATTAATTTCGACCAACGTTTTTGATCAGAAGATGTAATTTCTAAATTAATAGTTTTAAATTTTATTAAAAATGTTATTAAAAATATTATAACTTTTTTCAAAATTTTGTTAATAAAATGAGAATGTGAGCAATACCTTAACGAATTAATAATGCAAGGACATACAGACGTTATTACAACCATTCGAGAAAACTAAACTGTTCAACATTTTATGTGTTGCTGCAGAAGAAATTAGTAATGTCGGCGGACAAATTATACGCTAGTGGCTAGTGCTGCTAGAAAAGATCGTAGTATTTTAAGGATACATGCTGTAGATGATATTGCTTGTCCCTCGCTTGCAGTTTGAAAATGTTTGATTATTAAAAACATTTGATTATTAAAATCTAACATTCAAAATAACGCTTATAGCAGATAAACAAAAATCTTGTCTGTATTTGACATCACACTTGTAAAAATTAAGCGTGTAAAAAATCTGCAAAAGGAACTATTGTTAATAACATCACACATACACACACAGAAGAAAATGTATTATTTTTTAGTTGTTATATGTAATATTTAGTAAATTAACTTTAGTAAAATAAATTTTTCTTTCTAAGCATGAATACAAGTTGAGTATGACTGGAGCCGGAGAAGGTCTTTAAAAATAGGTATTTTTCAGGAATTTTTTATAGGGGAACGAAGAAAGCGTATAACGTTAAACTTTGCATGTTCTTTTAATCTTATTTTAAAAATCTATTTTTATTTTTTAAGTAAGAAAAATATTCTTCTTTTTGTTACTTTTATATTATATCTTGATCACTAAAAGACGTAAGTATGAGAGACGAAGTAAATGATTCTAGCTGTTTTAGGTATCAGAAACGTAAAAACCAAAAATTTTCTTATTCAGAATAAGTGATATGGGCTATCGTCTGAACTAGAATAAACATTTTTTTTAAATAAAATACTAATAAAATTTTGAAAAAAATTATAATATTTTAAATAAAAAAGCCGCTCAGAATGGAAATATTGATTTAGTTCTAGTTCAGACGATAGCCACACTTCTCCTGCAGAATAAGAAAATTTTAGCTTTTTGCGTTTCAGATACCTAAAACAGCTAGAATTATTTACATCGTCTGTCATTTATAGTGACCAAGATATAACAGAAAAAAAAGAATTTTTGTTACTTAAAAAATAAAAATAAATTTTTAAAATAAAGTGAAGAAAACATGCAAAGTTTAACGTTATTCACTTTCTTCGTTTCCCTATAAAACATTCCTGAAAAATATATATTTTAATGATCTTTTAAATTAAAATATCTCCGTTAATAATTCTTTATACATTCTCTTCCTAACGTGTGTGTGAAGCTATCGTCTCATTTTACAGAAACTCACAAATTATTGAGAGTTCTGGCTTCTTTCAAAAAACGCATCAGTACAAACTGAGACGCTATGTTCACGCAGCGTCTCATTTTGTCCTACACAAGTTTCACCACTGTATCTCATCAGATTTTGCAAGATCTATAGTTCTATATAATAGTTCTATAAAGAGTTTATCTCATCAGATTTTGCAAGATCTATAGTTCTATAACAGTTCTATAAAGAGTTCTGCCATATAAAAGCAAAAAAATTAATTATAAGGTACTAAAAAAAAATTACAATGCAACGAGTATACCGGTTGAGACGCCAGTTGAAATCTCGGAGTTCCGGTTTATATAAAATATTTTTTGAGTAGTTTTGAGCATATTGAAACATTTTCTAAAGAGTTCCGAGCGTTAGAATCTTTGTGTTATATTTAAAAAAATTAATATTAACCGAAAAGTAATCATGACAGAAGAAGATGAGACGCTGTGCGAAATCTCGGAGTTTTGGCTTATATAAAATATTTTTCGTATAGTTCTGAGCATACTAAAGCATTTTCTAAAGAGTTCCCGCCACTAGCTACGTTGTATATATATGTTTATTAACTTTAGCAAACACTAACTACGTTGTATAATTTTTAAATAAATTAATACCGCTCGAAAATCAGGAATTTATCGAAAATAAGGTGAGAAGCTGGCCGTATTTCGGCAGTTCTGTGAGTTCTGCTATAATTCTCGTGTAGTTCTGAACGTGTTCTAACGTTGTCCCATTTTATTCTGGCAATAAGCATTATTTATTCATTTTGCTTCCTCATAGAGGAAGCTTTGTTTTCGTAAATTCGTATATGAACTTTTGATTGCGTATCAAGTTGGCTCTAATCAACCAAATTTAAAAAAATTATATATAAAATAGGGGTAGAAGAAACCAAAGAAAAGATTGTTTTTTGAGTTTTTAATGTCAATATGTTCAGAGTGTTTTAAAACGTCGAAATATCGCATTAAAAAAAATGTCGGTATGTGTGATTGTATGTCTGTGCCTTTACAGAAATTTCTATAACTCCAGAACTGATCAACCAAATCTTAACGAGTTATATATAAAATAGGGGTAGAAAAGACTGAAGAATATAATAAAATTAATAAAAATTGTTAATAATAAAGGGATTACCGATTTCTGTTAAAAAAAAGTTTACCAAAATTTTTTAATTTTATTATATTCTTCAGTTTTTTCTATATTTCTATTTCATATATAATTCTTTAAGGCCGGTATTCATAGTCGGGTCGGTGTTAAAATTAATAAAAATTGCTAATAATTAAGGGGTTCTTTTTTAATAAAATTTTGAATTTTTGCAGAAATGTTTATGCTTTAATTTCCGCAAATTTGGAGATATCGATCTATTTCTAATTTTATTTAATTTTTCGGGAAATAATTGGCCGAATCTCAAATAATTATAGATCAAATTTCTACCAAAAGTATATGAAATAGGGTACATAAATAGAACCCTGATAAAGTTTGATATCGGGCTGTTTTTTTTTTTTTTTTTAATCAATAGAGTATCATTCAAGGAAGGTCGGTACTGAATTTGGCGATGATCGGTAAAGAGGTTTTTTGCAAGTAGAAACCTTTGCTTACAAAGCTTCCTCTATGAGGAAGCCAAAACAAATAGAGGAAGCTTTGTGAGCAAAGGTTTCTACTTGCACACTTAAAAACTATGAGGAAGCAATGTGCAGGTTTCTACTTGCACACTTTACTTGTTTTAAATAATTCTTATCGCTCGAGAAAGACCCTATTCTCGATAAATTCCTGACTTTCATGCGTTATTAATTTATTTAAAAATTATACAACATTGCCAATGCCCGGAACTCTTTAGAAATTGTTTTAGTATGCTTAGAACTGTACGAAAAATATTTTATATAAGCCAGAACTCCGAGATTTTCTACAGCGTCTCACCCACATACCCGTAAATGCGTCTTTCTTAGTCGATAAAAATTATTTAAAATATGAATAAATAATGCTTATCGTCAGAACTCTTTAGAAATAAACGTTAGAACACGTTCAGAACTATACGAGAATTATAATAGAACTCACTGTTACCCATGTGTATTGTTTATTTAAGAAAGTGTTTTTATTTTTATCCAATTTCCTTCTGTTGTTGCTCGTAATTTGGCCGCTTGAACATGCATAGGTAAAATAAATTTAATAAGAGTGCAAGAAACATTATGAACTACCATTTTTTCTCAATATAGTTAATAATATAATTATTGGTATGAATTTAAATATTAAATTTAAAATTTATTATGCAAAGTAAAGGTTTTTAATGTAAGACTTTTTTAGATAGAAAAGCATAGAACGGTGATTTCTATACATTACATTTACGAATTTTAGTTTTTATGTTTATAAATATTTATTTAATTAATTATATTTGCAATCTTTATATATTGATAAATTTTAAATATATATACATATATATATATAATATATATATATATATATATATATATATATATATATTTATTTATTTATTTATTTATTTAATTATAAATATAAAAATTAAAATTTGTATACAAGCAAATGTAACGTATATAGCGGGTATAGCGTATCGTCGATTTGTCAACTCGAGACTCGGCACTCGGCGAGACACGAGACGCGATACCCGAAATGCGTGGCATCGTGGTATAGCCGGCAAGCCGGCCCGTGCAAAGCGGCAACGTCACAGCTCAAGAGAGACAGCAGCTCGTATGTCTGCCCTTCTCTCCCCGCTCGAAGCTTGCCGAGGGCCTAGCGTACACGGACAGAGGAAAGGCTTGCGCGACCAGCATATATCCCCTCCATCTGAGTAGTTCGGACACGAACCATAGCATGGATACGAACCCATGTATCGTTACCCGAGTCCTCTCTGATCGTTACCGAGCGTAACGCCGTAGTTGACGTCCACTTTCTCAGAGGGCAGATTAGGACAGACGTCCCCCGAAGCCGGATGGCCGCTCTCAGGTTTCTCTCTGCTACCAATTATGATATGGTGCTGCACTCTATGCTAGCTTTCCTCATCCTGTGCATCTATACGTCTATACGCTAGATGCGTACCGAAGGGGGGCGACAAAAAGACCCAAAAAGTGTAGAATTGTGCCGCCCAGATAGCGCTTTCGTCGCCCCCCCCCCTGCGGTACGCATCTAGCGTATTGCCTGTGTCACTGTTTATTCTGCATTTATACACGATTTCTGATTTCTATTTCCTGTTCCTATTGCCTGTTACCTGGCATTGTGCAAGGGGCTTAACAGTTGTTGATGATGATAATAATACGTTCGCTATATAAGAAAAAGGTGGTACAAAACTAAATATCATGAAGAAGAAGCAATTTGATGAGTTTTTGGGAGGGTTCCAGTCGCTCCCTCATGAGGTGTCTATTATGAACTTTATCTCTTCACGAGCCTATGAAATTTCTGCGATGACATCTTCGATAGGTATATAGATAAATAATTTTAGAATGCTTCCAAGTTTTTGAAAATAAGCTTTTTTCATATAAACAGCTGTTAACATACAAAAGTAAAATTTTATTTTTTAGAATAATTTTTAAGTGTAATTTACTTTTTAATTAAATTTATCTTAATTTAAGGTAAAAATTATTAGAATATCTAAGGAAAAAAATATAAGTCTCATCCAATTTCTATAAAGATTATTTCAAAATGTAAAAAATTCCCTAACATTTTATCAAACATTTAGGAAATATCGATCACTATTGAAACAAATTACACGTTTATGAAATGAAAATAAATTACATAATTAGATACTTTTCAATTTTATAATTAGATTTTTTTTATAAATATAAATAATGTCATAGTCTGTGACTCTGTTATCTCTGGATGATTCTAATCTATTGTTATGTTAAATATTTATAATTATTCTGTGATATTCTTACAGAAAATCCTAAACAAACCAAGTTAATATTTCAAAAGCTGCCTGTATATATGCGTAGACGTGTCATGTCTCATAATGTCAAAAGATTGCCACGTAGATTGCGAGAGGCACATTTGGCACAAATGGCAAAATCAGGAAATGGCAAAGATTTACCATCAATAAACAAGCGACTATCTCGAAAGTATCGTAGAAGACCACACAATTTACTTTCTGAATACAGTTGCAGACAACGTAATAAAATCTGGTTAGAAACACACATCTGGCACGCAAAACGTTTTCACATGATTGACAAATGGAGATATAGAATTGCGAGTCATCCAAACGACAAGTGTTTTAAAGCTAATTATCGATCTGCCGCAAAATATTGCCTTCTACAAGATATTTCTTACTACACTTGCATTGAGATAACAGGGGAGGAAAACTTATTAAAGACAACTTTAAGAGCGCATTGTAATCCATCTAAGTTAACTTTTGTAGCGAAAAAATATATTAATGGCCATGGGGAAGGTACTCTGATGTTCTTCAGGAAAGATGGTTACCCACGTTTTCCTATTGGTAATGTGACTTTTTTCTGGCGACCAAACAAATCAAATATCCAAACAGATATTAAAACTATTTGGATTTGGGTACATCCTGCTTTTTACGACGATTTTCTTAGTGAAATTATAGCAAGTTTTGAATTTAAGCAGAACAATGCTGAGCAAGATGCAACCGATATTATCCACAATTTAAATCATTTATACACGAATGATGCAGGTTGTAAAATGATCATATTAAGAAATACATTAAATAGATTTCGACTTCATGGGACATTGACTCTAAATGTATTAACACAGGCATTAAAATTGCCGTCTTTAAATAAATTAAATCTTTGCTCGGATTTCACTGTTCTAAAAGATAACGATAGCTCGTTAAGCAGCAAAACGATAGATACGAATAAAATATCAGTAGACAACAATGTTCTGCAGCCTACGGAAGAGATGGCAATTGATGAAATAAATGAAGAAAATACTACAATTTCCAAATATTTGAATATAGAACTTAGTAAAAAGACATGGTATATTAGTTACTATAAAAAACAAGAAAATATGGAGACTTTCAAGGTGCAAGAACAATTGTGGCAAATATTCAAGTCTTTGGAATCGCCAAATCACTTGCCAACAAATATGATTATTGGAGTAACTGTTTTAGATCCACGCTTCTACTTACCTGAGAAAAGAACAAAATGTAATACTGAAGTAACAGAAACATTTTCTCGATCAATTCCTATTGATCGGCCAATAACTAATTCCAACTGTTCTCCTATTTGGGATTCAGAAATACGCCATATTGTAAGCAGTTCTTGCATGCCCATAAGCATTATAAATAAGCTTAGAAGTGAATGTCTTGTACCTGGTGTATCAAATGACCAATATTATAATGAGGATATTATGGCAAAGATACCTATACTTCTTATTCAGAAATCTGGAACTATTACAGGTATGTAATATGTACAATTTTGAATATATTATTATTAGTAATATACGTAAGATAAACTATTTTCATATATTACCGAAGTTATTTTACCAGTATTTTTCATTTTAAAGAAAATTATTTAAAATAAAAATTTCGTAATTTTAGGAAATACAATGTGTAATAAATTTTTATTCCACACATTTTTCGTGAGATATCAATGTTATTTTTTTTGTTTTAATTATTCTATAATTAATATCCTTTTTGTTTTAATTATTTTATAATTTTAAGTAAAGTCATAATGAAATTAATAGTTTATTATGGAATATTTTGTATTTTATTCTAATATATTTTAACATCAATTATGTAACATATTGTATCGTAAAACATTTTTTAATATAACCCAACTTTTAACATTTTTATATACAGAATAATGAGCTGACTGTATCAATATAATACAAACACAATATCAATAGAATACAAACCAAATCAGAAAATTTTACCTTGCCAGTAAATAATTAACAATAACGATTTTTTATTTGACCTAATTGGCTACCTTTATTAATTATAATTGTCACGATGTTTCGGCCAAAGGTTTCGGTTTTTCTCAATCGATGTAACTTGCCAATATACAGTGTGATTCAGAAGTACTTGTACAAACTTTGGGGATGAGTTCTCTATACGTAAACAAGAAAAAAATGTCGTATATATATGTCCGGTAATGCTTGTGATTTATGAGTTATAATTGAAAGATTATATTCGACAAAAATTGACAAAATACAATTACAATAACACATGATCAACGTAATGTATCTTCAATTTATTTATCTATTTATAATTCGTAACAAATACTTAAAATGTCCTCTACCTGGTTCAATGCATACAATGGACACATTGGATCATGATCTGTCGTACCCTTTTAAAAATCCCATGATGGTTGCGGATGATTTCGTAGGTAAGTATTTGTGATGCGTTAATGAAGCGTCTCTTCATTTGTAATTTCAATTGAATAAACTAGGGCTTTTAAGTGTCCCCACAGATAAAAATCTAATGGATTTAGGTTAGGCAAACGTGCGTGCCTGAAATGTAATCTTTCGATTGTAATTTATATATAAGATATTTCCAGACATATGTATATATGACTTTCCTTTTTTGTTTATGTATGGAGAACTGACTCCCAAAGTTTGTACAAGTATTTCTGAATCACCCTGTATACTATATATCATAAGTTACATTGATTGAAAAGGATTAAAACCCATGGTCGAAACGTCGTAACAATTATAATTAATAAAAATATCCAGTTAAGTTAAATAAAAAGATCATTATTGCAAACACAATTGCACAAATATGTGATTTGTAATTATATACTTGTTTTAATGCAATTAACAATTATACATTCTCTTCACATCAATCTCTTCATATCGTTGATTTATTTCATTAGTTTGTATATCAAAGTATATCAAGATAAAGTTTGTCGTAAAATGAATATTTACGAAATATTTTATATTTTATTTTAACAAAGTATAAAATTATTTTATAAGCTGTTAATTTTTTGTATAATTTTACTACAGAACGTTTTAATAATTATTTTATAAAATAATTAGAAGAATTGAATTACAATTATAAAAAATTATATGATTTCATTAAAAAATATATAAATACTCATGTTTTCTAAGAAATGCTATATAAAATTTGTTATATGTACATTATATTTTCCTCCTAAAACTATGAAACTTCTTTAAAAACCTTTTTAAAATAAAAAACAACTAAAAAAAATTAGAACTATACATTAAAAAAGCTTATTTTACATAGATATTTATGACATTTTTATTTTATTTTTTTCTTTGATTATGATTTATAATTAAGAACACAATGTATGTTGACAGGTTTTGGTTCTGGAATAGATGTTATTGTACCAGCCAGATGGGCAATGCCGTTTTGGCTTGCATTCTTAATGCAATGTTCAAGAGTAGGTGGGCTTCAAGAATCAAAATCGATAGCTTTTGAAAGTTTGAATCTAGATACACCCGATATTAATGATCCTGATAGTCCTGCGTATACGAGAGAGGCATTGATTACAAAAGAGGAATTGACTAAAAAATATTTCCGTTATCCACCAAATAGAAGAGTTAATTTTGTCAAGCTCGGAATTTCTAGCCCTTTCTTTTGCGACTGGAAAAATTTGACGAAAGACTGGTCGGGCAACGAAGACTTTTATGTTCTAAGGAATCGCGAGCTCTTGTTACTTTTACAAGCAGATATTTGTCCTGCCAAAAGTAGAAATTCAAAATTACTTATCGAAAATACGCAATCTAATATTCCAGATTTAAATGATTATAAAAATTGCCTGATACGCGTTCAAATATCTATGGTGGGAAAAGGATCGCCAAAAAAATTCGCAATCATATGTATGCCGACATTCGAAGATTTGAAGATGTTTGAAAACAATAAGAAATGGCTTGGGCCTGTAGAAAAATGTCACAGTGATTCGAACGAAAAAATTCGTAAAACATTACGAAAGAATCATTTAATACTATTAAAACGATTAAGGCGACAAAGAGTTCGATGGAATCGAGCGTCAAAAAATAATGCGTTGAAGTTACTGAAAGAATCTACTGGAAAGTTGAACGAAGATAAACGTACAACAGTCTTATCTCACTGTAAAATTATATCTGATCAATCGGTAAAAATGTCAGAATTGTATCTTTCAAAATGTACAGAAGTTCGTCATTCTTGCGATAGAGAAGTTATGGGATATATAACATTAGGGAACTTTTCGTTCAGCCAAGCAAAGAGTATCGGCATCGGATATATCGCATTGCCTTCATTACTCAGAATGATTGACGAAAAATCTAACACCGTTCTTATCAGAAATATTCAAACGCGACAATACAGATTAGCAGAATTAAATATATTAGATGTTTGATATATTGTATTGTATATTTTACTGTATAATGTGTAAAAAAACGATACGTGTGTATTTTTTTATTATTGTGTTTCTTATGAAATCCATGAAATATATTTGAATAAAATGTGTTGTTTAGCGCACAAAGGAGGATATTTTTTATTCTTATTTTACTACTATCAATAATTTTTTGAAAGATATGTTGGACAATAATAATTACGGCTGGTCGATTCATCTTGTATTATCGGTTTTATTTAGAACTTTTATTCTACTTTTATCATTCACAGTACTTCAAAGGCATTATGTATATTATAATAGATACAATTGATCTATAAAAAAAACCTCATACGATACATAAATATCGCACATTGTGTAAAAAAAGATAACTCTTGTCATTAATAAATAATAACAATAAACAAAAGGTACCAATAAGTTGTATGATAGGTAGTTCCATTCATCAAGACGAGATCTAGAAGAAAAAACATTGATTACTACATTGATTAAGATATACAGTGACAAAAGAAAGCAGACATTGCAATGTTGACCTCAAATAATTGATATCTTTATAATATATATATATACAGGGTGGCCTATTTTAAAAGATGCAGGCAAATATCTTGAAAAATATGAAACATACGGAAAAATGTTTCGTACAAAAGTTGTTTGGCTCGAAGAGGGACATAAGATGGTGCCATTGGTTTGACCTTGGATGGTCGTTTAAAGCTCACGTGAACGACACCTTTAATTTCTTAAATGGAAACCCCTATTTTTCAATGCATATTCTTGTAGCTTATGTCGAGAGCTTTCCAAAACACTATAAGAAAGTATTTTTTATTAAGTACTTTTTGAGTTATGAGGCTTGAAAGTTCTAGTATTTTGACATAAAATACAAAATATCTTTTAAAACATTAAGTTTTCGGTAATGTTACCTTAATACTTTTATGCACAGAATAATGAGACAAATCAATTGATATGAAAAAAGGCATAGTTCCTTTAAGAAAAAATATGTAATTTGCAACACGCATCTGCATACTTTTTCTTAAAAGCAACTATGTCTTTTTCGTGTGTGTGTATATATATATATATATATATATATATATATATATCGTAGACCGTAGGCAAATTAGTTGGCTTTCGCTCGTTTATTTGTGTTTAAATGCTATTTTCCTAGGCAAATAGCATTTGCCTGAACACTTTTTAGGAAAATGGAAATAAATTTTAGGTAATTATTTAGAATAGGACTTTTTCTGAATTTTGATATTTTTTGCGACTATCTTTGTAAAAATCTTTGTTGTGACCCCGAAAGTAATAATCAATCGGGGGAATTAGAAGAATATGTAACCTTTTTTTAAGCAAAAACCTATTTATGCTGAACATAGATATTCACTGCAGATGTATGTACGCCATGTTAAAGCAGAGAATAGTTGGTATATTGAAAAGTATGTATACAATTTTATGTTTTAGAAAGCGTAAATATGATTTTAGCCGTCGCTATTTATTAAAAAGATATTAACAAATGTACAACTGATGAGAAGTATAACAGTTTGTGTCAATACTAAAGAAAGTAATTTGTTAATATGTGTGTATAGACACTATAGACAGTACACCTGTAGGCGTAAGACCCGCAGTAGTCCCTCTCCTGCATAAAAACTAATTTAACTCCAAGCCTATTTCAACCAAATTTTATAATTTCAAGTTTTTAGGGTAAATATTTAGTATTAGGGAGCCACCCCCAATTTCCATAATTTTGAAATATGTTGTCATGGTCATCACCTTGAGTAATGTTGTGAAGGTTTTAGTTGGGGGTCGTTGCTTATTAAAAAGTTATTAACGAAGAAAAATATAATAAATGGTATAATTCTATAATACTGTATATAGACTATGTGTTACCAACCAATTGTTGTGTTGTTGGAAAAGTGTATGCGTGGATGCAGTAAGTTTCGCCCCCCC